CCCAAACAACCGTGCCTCTAAATTCAAGACTAAAGCATCACTCTGTACCTCTCCTACCCACAGCACTCAGGTCTTGGTGGCTTTGCAGCTACCGTTATCATTTCCTGCCTTTTATGAAGTCGGTGCCTATCGGTGGATGGAGAGAAGAGACCTATTGTGTTGGGCATTGCACAAACAATCGCCTGGCTGCAGAAAGAGCTCATCAGGTGATGGAGCTGGAAGGGCACTTGAGGTGCTGGTGCATAGACTGGGTATATCAAAATGCCCAAGTATTTAGTTTCCACCGTATGCCCGTGCCCATGGATTCTCAGTGGCTCAGATGAACTTTTATTTCTTAACCTTGCAGGTCAGAAACAGCATTCATAACCTTTTAGACAACTCCCGGGAGCCCAAGAAATATGGGAGAAAGAGCAGTCGGCCCTGCGTCGATGCCAAGGACGTGGATGTTCGATCACGCTAGAGCAGAGAGAAGGGGGATCCACCCCCACACTGGGTCTGACCGTCTGGGCAGTGGCCCTGGCTCACCTGTGGGACTATCATGGAGCAGACCTTGGCAAACAGGACGTGCCCTGAAAGGGCAAAGACGATGAAGTTCCTGAAGGAGGAGAACCACATGGCCCATTCAAAGTCAGCTGCGTCCTGTCAGAGCAAAACCATGTCAGGAAGGACAAGCCAAGGGAATACGATTGCTGTGTCTACACTGCCCGGGATGACTTCCTGTATAATTAGCCCACTTCCATCCAAGCCTTCAGCTCCCAAAATGTCCTTCTCAGGCCATGCTCCTATGAGGCGCTGGGGGGCTTCAGTGCCCACTGATTTTGGTAGGGGCCGCGGGAGCTTGGCACCTCCTAGGACTGGGTCTGCGGCGTTCATCTCCTTCCAACTACCCACAGATCTCAAATCTACACATCAGCCATAAAGGGATCGACTGCGGTCACCATGCTCCACTGACGTCTGTAAAGCGCCGTGCACACACCCCCTGCGACCCGCGGGATCATTGCCTTATTACTAATCAAGCAGTGAATTAATTGCACAGGCAATAGGGGAAGATTTGCGTGAACCAGGCAAGCAGAAACCAGCAGCAGCAAAGCCGGGACTTGGTTTTTAGCTAGACAGTGCTCCATTAAGCGATTAAAGCATGAGCAATGCCCGCTCTTGCACTGCTTACCATTTTCCTGCCAAAGTAATGCCATCCCGGCTTTATGGCCTCCCGAAAGGCCTTTCTGTTCATGTTATCTGCAAAAGAACGGGCATTAGGCTGGGGGGAGCCACGGGGATGCCAAAGCCACCTCCTTAGGACCAAGTGACAGGGGCTGTGGGTTATATGTGTGCTGTCAGCAAAACCAGTGCAATTGCCTCCAGTTAGTGTCATAGAAAATGAGGGTTGGAAGGGACCCCAGGAGGTTGCATCTAATCCAACCCCTTGCTCAAGGCAGGACCATCCATGTCTAAACCCTCCCTCCCAGACATGCCTCGCCACCTCTTAGCTCCTGTTCCACGCCACGTCCTAAGGTGACCCTGGACCTGCCTCGTGGCGACCCTGAACATGTGCCCAGAGCTGCTCCTGGGGTGTCCGGCTTGGACACGTATGTATAGTTATCGTATGAAATGTGCACACAGCCTTGGGAGTGGAGAGCGGAGCCCAGCTGAGCACCCTCAGCATTACCCCAGATCCCCAAACTATCGTATGGCCCAGAGGTGTCAAACTCCCCCTGCCCCCCAGGCTGGGCTGGGAGTCCAGGATCCAGCCCTGGATGTGGCCGTGCAACTGGGGGCAGGGGGTGGCGCAGCTGTTGCCCACCCCCGGCTGCTGGCATGCATCTGCTAACAGCTTCAGGACCCTGCCCCTGCATCCCCAGCTCCTCTATGAGCCCCGCGGGCCGCGTCACACAGCTAGGACCCAGGTCTGCCATCCCCTGGGCTTTCTACCCGGGGAGGTCCCTTGTGGCCCTGACCCAGGCATTCAAGCTGGGGATTTTGGATGCATCCTGGGTTTGGTGTTTTCTGCTCCTGCTCACACGCAGCCTGCAGGGTGTTTGTAGGTCCACCTACTAAGGCCCCTGGTTCCCCTATAGGCACCTCCTAGACCGCTCCCGTATGCTCTCTCTATGCAGCCCACGTGTCTAACTCAGGGCTGTGGCTTCGACTCTGGTTTTGAGGCTGCTATGCTAAATGCAGGTGTTGCCCCCTACCTCCTTTTTGCAATCGGGCCCCGAGAGACTCCGGCCAGCCATTTGTCTACTGCTTCACCTGCGATGGCACAAGATGCACCATTGCAGAAAGGAAAGGTTTGGAGAGGGATGCTCCTGCCTCAGGCAGGGGGCTGGTGTAGATGATTTCTGGAGGGCCCTTCCAGCCCAACTGGGGGGCATTTTCTATTCACTTTGCTCAGGTGTGGCTGATTCACAAGGCCACTCCCAGCTCTTATATTGCTTCCTTAAGCATAAGGGAAAACCAAAAAGTAAAGGAGCATTGCAACTGGGTGGACATCAGCTCCTTCTGAGCTCAGGAGGGCTGAGACGGGCACCTGAAAACCCCCATCCCCTAAGCACTGGCTCTCTCTCACATGCCCATCCTCCCCCCCAGCATTTTTCTGGCGAGGTTTGCTGAAGACAGTTACCTCTGGATGCTTCGAAGATGTCACTGCTGCTGTACGCGAGGGCACAGGTCAGGACCAGAGCATAAAACCCCAGCTCGTAACTTGGCAAAGCCGCTTTAATCCCCATGCTGGCCGCTTTTCACCCCAACAGCCAGCTCTAGGCAGATCCAGATCTGGGGTAGGGGAGAAGAGGAAAGAAAAGGCAGTTTAGTCTCCCTGACTTTGACACCCTGCCTCCACCTGGGGTGGTCCTCCATTGCCGTGAGTGAAGGAAAGGGGGTGAGCAGGGCAGGATCCGGCCTGGGATATCCAGCTGGTGCAAAGCTTTAAAACTCTGAATTAAAATAGGGGGAACTGCAGGTCCCTCAGGATGCACTTTGGGGAAGTTTATGCAAAAAAATACCCTTTCTTGCTCTCTAGTGTTATGTTTGGTGCTCAAGCGCAGAGGGAGGTGAGCAGGACATCCGCCTACCTTGGACCTTGCTAGAAGTTTTTTCTTAGCTACTAAGTGTTGGAGCAATCCAGTGGCTAGGGCAGCTGGTGTGACCTGGGTTTTTGTAGGTCACAACAATTGGACACGACCAGGATCATTTACGGTCCTGCTGCGTCGGTGAATGCAGGGGAAACCTGATGCAAGCGGGGAGGTAGAGCCAGCATTTCTCTCCCCGGTGCTTCAACTTTGAACAAAAAAAAAAATCATAAGGGGAATGAGCTGCGATAGATGTGTGCACCACTTCCCTCTCCTGGAGCATGATGGAAATACACAATAACCTCCTACTCGTTGCCCCGGGGGTTGCTGCTCATGCCTACGCTGCAGAGTCGCTCTGGTCTGCAACTTGGTTTTAATTGCTGCGGTCTTGATGTAGGGGATGGGAAGCTCCGGTCTGCTGTAAGGCCAGTGTTCGGATGCAACAGGCCTGGCGCAAAGGGAGGGGATAAGGGCTCAAGCGGGCATCTGTAATGAGTGTGGGTCTGGTGCGGGGCAGTTTGCCCGCTGGGAGCCTGTGCATTACATTGGCGCCCAGCTCTGCTGCTATCAGGTAGGTATAAGGAGAGGCACGCGTATGGCGGGCCTGGGAACAGCAAGGGTCCACGTTTCCTGCGTGGTGATGGGAGAAGGCACGTGGGCTCCAGAAGCAGCTCGGGGTCTCAGGTAGGGCTCTGCCTGTAACCAGAGGCAGTGATGGCACCTTGTAACCTGCACGCTTCTCTTGCACCCGCAAACTGCTCCTTTTTCACCCCCAAAGGGGAAGAGCAGCAGTGGGGGTGATGTGGAGGGTGACACCAGAAAGCTGTATGTGCTTGGATGATTTCACAATTGCTCCAAGCACATGCCGTACCTCATGGCTGCAGGGAGCAGCATGGAGCACACAAGACTTCTAATGAAGATCTAAGTTCTTGTAGTTCAAATGGAGTCCCTATATTATTATTTTGCATAGCTCTGTGCATGAAAAAATAGGAAAAGCCAGGAGATAGACAAATGATGTATTTACACCAGGGTAAACCATCTTCGAATGAGTGTAAA